GGAGGACCTCAGGATCCGCGAGGGTCGATACGGTAAAAGCAGGTCAGATAAATAGCTGGGTGCAAGGCCTTTAAGACACTTATAAACCAATAAAAGAACCTTAAAATCGATCCTGCAATGGGGCCTTTCAGGAACTTTACGTCAGTGGAAGTTGTTGCTTGTGTGACAATTTGACAGATTGTTCAGTTTTTCAGACTTCTCTGTAAATCCAGTCGTGGAAATGAGTTCTGTTTGTGTAGCAAACAACAAAAACCTCTCAGCACGCTGTTTCTGAGTTAGCCTGCCGTATTTCACGTGGCGGTGAGCGCTATGTGGTGCAGCTCTGCATCTGGTTCCACCGTCTGCCAGTCATGTCATGTGCTGTCTCACTCACCACGTCCTGGATCCACAGGAACGCCGTGGGGTGCTGAGGTGAGTGGGTACCTGATATGGAGCAGTAGATGAGCTGTGGGTTCCCTCTGCTCAGCTGCTCGTATCCTAAACCCATCTGACGGAGTTTCCCTGGCAGGTAGTTTTCCACCAGCACGTCGCACACTCCTGCAAGCTGACACACAGAGCGAGGGTTTAGCAGACTGAAGGCAGGCGTGTGGATGCAGACGGGCCTCTGACCAGCTCTCTGCAGCGCTTCAACCTCACGTCCAGGCTTCCTGAACACAAAACACCTGAACAGGTTATCAGGTTTCTGAGCAGAGCGAGCGGTTAGCTGTCCGAGCTCAGTGTGGATTTAAACTTTTATTCAACAAACCAAAGAGAGACGAGGCGATTAATTAGTGATTAATACTGAGCGTAGACGACCCGGTCAAGGCCGATGGTCGGACTTTAACTGAACAGGCGTCATCTATGTTCCATTCACATCTGTTCTCCCACAGACACACCGACCTAGCTGTAAAGGTGGCCATCAAATGCTTCACTTAGACGTCGAGTCCGTCCTGCTGTATGTGAGCTGAACAACATCAGCTCTGGTTGGAGGTCCTGAACCTCCTCAGAGTCTCTGTCATGGTCCCGCTGCTGCTAAACTCCCACAATGCTCTCTGCTGCCACGAGGAGCTGTAGTCTGTAGACGCCTCCTCTGGTCTCTACAGGATTAAACAGGGAGAGGCTCCCCCTGGTGGAACAACCAGGTACTGCAGCTGGTCTGTGGTACATGAAGGATTATCGACTGAAATGGTTTTGAGTTCTGGCAGATGCTAAATATTAATTAAATAACTCAGATGAGGTCAGAAGCAAACACAACTTGATCAGGACGTCTCTAGTTTTCACCATTTATTTTAATTTTTAATAAAAATGAATCAGAACCGATTGAAACGTGAGTCAGTGTCCGATCACGGGACTCTGAGTTGCTTTTAAATGGAGTTTTTGTCAAAGAGCTAAACGGCTGCTATGTGAAGAGTTCTGTAGGAACAGCTGAGGTTTAACGAACGTCAGGCTGAAGTCAGGTGTGTCGCTGGTGCTTCGTACCTCCTGGATGATCTTCACTCCTCTGGGATGCTTCATGTCCACAGCAACACTCTGAAACCAGACAGGTCAGCACAAATTAACAGCCAGCCGCTCGTGTTTCTGCTTCTTCTCAGGTTTACATTAGAACTGTGTTAACTGGCTGGTTTAGTCCTGTTTCCTCCCAGGAAGCTGCTGGTTTCACCTTATTTCTACTCACTCTCTGAACTTCTTGTTCTCATCTGTCTTCACTGCATCCTCAGGTGTTAACCACGTCATTGCTACGCCGCAAAGTGTCGCAAAAAGAGGTAAAAACAAACAAAAACTTACAGGACAGCCGCGAAAAGCAGGAAAATGACGACAAAGAGACGCAAAACGACGGCAGCGTGTTGCACAGCGATCCTAATGCGACGCAAAACTAAAAGCTGGAAAGCTAACAAACAAATACGTCAACTCTGAAGAGCTCTAAAAACTGCAAAATGGACACAAAAAGATGTAAAAACAACGATGAAACGTGGCGCGTAGTGTCGACCGACGTCAGCAGGACCTCAGCTGACCAGCTTTGAAAAGCACTCTGACTTGTTCCAGTTCGTTTGAGACGATCATTTTGGGCAAAACAACAACTAAAAAGTCACCAAAGAGTTGCAGCTCACTGTTGTTCTCCGACGGCAGGAAGACGCTGACTTGGCTGCATTTATTTAACTACAAAATTACAAAACGCGACTCCAAAAATTCCCCCTGAATCCATAAGAAGCAGCCACAGCTGCAAAGTGTCTGGACCAAGCTGCAGGTCCTGGTCCTCAGAGCTCTTGGTTGTGTCTGCTGAAGCCGCTCACGTCCTCCTCTGAGCCAAAGACACGGCGACAGAAGAATCATCACACGGACGAGCTGCAGCGCTTCAGCTGGCTGCAGTGAAGTGGGGATGCTGAAAACAGAAAGCCTGACTCTGGACCGTCAGCTGAGCTCCTCGACACTCTCCCTGGCTGACAATCCTGAAGCTACCTGACAGGAAGTGCAGCCGCGCTGCTGCAGCGGCGTGTCCACGGCGCATTCTGCAGGCCACGACTCCACACACTTACTTTCTTGTTTCGGTTGACGCTGAGGAAATAGGCGCTCTCCGATCCGACGAACGGAGGACCCCAGGTTCTGGTGTCGTCACCTGCACCTGCTCAACAAAACGCACAGCGTCACACTTCCCAACACCCTTCACGGGCTCTCAGGCAGAACCGAGCCGTGACACAGGGACTCACCGGGTCGCTCCACTTTGATCACCTCGGCTCCCAGATCTCCCAGGATCATGGTGGCGAATGGACCGGCCAGAACCCTGCAAACATGTCAGGCAAAGTCCACTTTAGCTGGGATCCTGAGGCAGCTACCTGGAGGCCGAGCGTCGCTGCAGATGTCTCACCTGGTCAGGTCTAGAACGGTGACGCCCTCCAGCGGCCGAACAGCTCCACCTGTAGGAGTCACATTCAAACCGTGAGCCACCAACAGTCCCGATGCTCCCACAGCAGAGTCCTGACGGCTGAGGAGCTTCCTAACCAAGCTGCTGGTGCTCATCAGCTGATTTTTGAGAAGTGTTGGCAGAAAGGACACGAAAAGACGTAAAACGACCACAACACGCATCACAGAGAGCTGCAGAGAGGATGAATGGATGAAACAGCTGCTGCCTGGGGGACGGACACGAGCCTGACGCCGACCGTCACCGTGTTCGATGTGGCAACAAGCTTGTGCAGCAAACATCAGGCTGCAGATGTCCTGACTGATGACTGCTTTGCTCGTTGTGTTTCTGATCTCTGCTGATCTTCTAAACGTAGTTTCTCCATGTATCGGGAGTACCATGTGTGTGGACACTCCAGAAAAAGAGAGCTTTAATCTCAATGAGCCTTGAAAAAATTAAACTGATTTTTTAATTCGCTGCCTGCAGGAGGAGCCTTCACTGTAAATCACATGACGTGTTTGGTGTGAGTGTGTTCTGGAGATTATTAATGATGATAAAATGTGTAAAGCAGCTGCTCTGGACTTTAAAGGAGTGAACATGGAGGGAGACCTTCTAGGATCAGATGATCAGAGCTGTTCACAGAGCTCCTCATAACCGTGTGTATAATATAGAACTTTATAGCTCAGTTATCACTTCTACAGATGTTTCCAGGTTTACGATCTAATGAAGTCACAGAACAATAAACTAATTTACATGTTGACTCTTAAAAAACCAACATCTACACGTAGTGAAAACTATTTCAAACAGTGCTTTGTGCATAAATGAACTATTTTACTGTATTTAAATCAGTGGCTTCACAGACACTTGCTGTTATTTGAAAAAATTAAATAAACGCATTAATGGCTGATAAACTTTAACTGTTGTTTTACAGGTTTGGTCAAATCACAGATAATGACTCAAAACATCACAGAAGAAACTAAAACTATTTCAGTTTACAAAAAAATAGGCCAAACTGAGTGTAACGTCATCAAGTCAGTGTTTTTATGCATAGGACTGTCTTCTTTTATCACGGCTGTCAAATTACACGAGTTTACTGCATTTAATGAAGTAAAACTACAATCATTGTCCAGAAATGTGAAATTATTTGACTTATAGATGATAAATGTTCAGGACTGAAAGGGGGTGAGCATTGAACCATTTACCCAGTTTAGTAGAATTACACATAACATCTATAGAATTGTGGGAAAATGTGATCTTTACACGCTGACTGCAAGAAACACTAACAGGCCAAAAACTCCCACTCATGTCCCATCAGCAGTCTGGGTCTTTACATTTCTCTGTCTCAGCGTTCGACTGCAAACACACATTGTTTGACTGAATGTGAAGCAGCCGGACACGTCGTTGTTGGCACATATTTGCCGTTTCTGTCCGTTTTCACAGTTTTTGAACGTCTCAGTATTCCCTGTTTTATTATTGTTTCCTTTATTTTGAACCAAATGCATTTGATTCACAAAATCAAAGTTCAAAAAGGGTTTTGGACAAAGTTGAACAGTCATAATACCAAAACCCTCCTACGCCAAGAACAACCTAAACATGGACACACATGTTTGAAGCACATCACACAATAGTCTCAGAATAAATCCTCAAACACAACTCCACTGCTCCAAGTCTCACTACCGGCAGCGTGTCTTTGAATGACATCTTCCTGGATCACGGCCCGAGTGTTTGACGTGTTTCCATGTCGTCCGTGCAGCTGCTCCATCACTGAAGCTCTCTGGCAGAGACGCCATGAAGTTCACTGTTTGCTCTACAGATGGTTTCTTGGACGTGTATGTTCCTCTTAGACAGAACTCACTCTGCCTTGACTGGAAACGTGTTTGGATACTGATTATTTTGAACTCTGTACACGATCTGAAGAGTTTTGAAATAGATTTTTTTCTGGTTGTTGCGGTTGTTTCGCGGCGGATTGTGTCCGTCAGCTTGACACAGCGGGGCGGACTTTGACCGGCTGCTCGAAGTTCCTGCATCGGATCCCGGGGTCACAGCGACACGCTTCGGTGAAACATTCCGGAGCAGCTAGCAGGAC